GAATCGACTTCGATATGACGATATTTATATCATAAAATTAACTTTTACGATACTCACATTCACTTTAAAAATAATTGTTTTGTAGTATACTGAGTACACAAACAAAACTATATAATGTTTAAATTGCAAAATGACCGCTATGCCATTGCCTTAATGTTTAAATTCACTTTATAGAAAATATGTACGTATACTAATTATAGTTTCTGACAATGCGCCAATGAAAACATTTTTTTCACTCATAATATTGTTGTCGATTCTGGGATCCCAATTGTCAACCTAAACTAAATCAACAGATATAAAAATATTGTCATCTCTTTCACTCTCTATTTAATTCAACAGTGACAACAATAGTTCAAAATCTGTCATTGGGTGAGTTCTAAAATACACGGCCTGCGTGGGCGGCCTAAGATTGAAAATGAAATAATGTAGAGAAGGCATGCAAAGCAGTGAAATGCAGAACTCTATAGTGATGTTTATAAAGGCAGAATAGGACTGACTAAACTAAGTTTAATGACTAAATAATGATTAGCTATTAAAGAAAGGATTACAACCATTTTAAGACTTGCATAAGATATGTTCAGCCTTAGAGATCTATACATGACTAAATATGTTTTAGTTTATAGGGTAGTATTGGAATTACATAGTCATTATAAATGGTTCAGGTCATAACGGAGTACAGGCGCTTCAGCGCGTGCAGAATTGAACACAACTGGCAAGACAATAAGGTAGCATTTACAATAATAACAGTATGTGGTTTCAATAGAGAAAAATACAATCATGTGTTCAATTTTGAAGGCGTTGGAATAATCTTCCGGTCACTTTAAAACTGACCAGAAAAACAATTGAATATGCGCGCGCATTCGTCTGAAATTGTTTATACGGGATTATCTTTAAAATACCCAAGACTTCTTAATACGAAAATCTAACATTTAGAACAGTTTTTGAACTACATCTTCCTAAAAATTCGCAATTTTACAGCTCTTGAAGTTCGCGTGGGAAGTAAAACAGAAGCAGTATACATTTAGAAAAACTTGTTTGTTACGATAGGAATTTGTGTTACAAAATAATTGATAATAATAAGTTCTTGTGGAATTACCGTTAACTTTAAAGGGTGTTCTAATAGAGAAATAAATTCGAGTTCTTAGGTTTTCGCGATTGTTACACATAGGAAATGAAACTATTTTTCCGGACTTAAATCGCGTATATTTGTTTTTTCAAACAAACCGACGTTTCGGGCCCTTTACAGGTCCTATAGTCAACCGTGACCATATACGCGATTTAATTCCGGAAAAATAGTTTCAATTCCTAAGAGAAATAAATTTCTTTAAAAAAGACATCTCTACTTATGTAGTATGATACATCAGACATACTTTGTATGAACAACAAAGTTTATCAACGTATTTAATATTTACTGGCTAATGGCCCGTCCACACGGTTCATGCGCTTTATCGCACGCATCTGATCCAAGAAAGGGCAAGGAAAAATACAGGGTTATTTTTAAAATATTAACAAGGAGTAGATTAGTAGTAGTAGAGCTCCTGGTAGAGTTCGCCCAGAGAAGTACTGCCACCTTATTTCTGCCGTCAAGCAGAATGTGAGTATTACTGCGTTCCGCTTTTGAAAGGTAAGGACTGGTCAAATTACAGGCACATGAGACGTGTCAATTTTTGTCTCAGGGTGACGGTGACGGTGTCAGAGTCCCTGAGATCTTTGCGATTTAAAGCTCTGAGTGGCTGTACAACTGCTATGGACAGGTGGCTTACCAACATGTGCACAACTTGTTCGGTTGGTATCATAAAAAAATATTTTAATTAGGTCACTAAAGATAACTAATTATTTAGTTAAATTGTATGTCTCTACATACGTTTATAGTTTTTCTTCAACAAATATCAGTAAGGTTTTTACCATGAGGCGACAATATTTACCTATAGTATGAAACATAATTAGATCTCCAAAATGTAAACACAGAAATGTCATTGTCCAAGGGTGAATGGAGGTGTGCTAAACCTTCTATTCCTAACGGAATTGGAAAAGGAGGTTCTCATTTTCTACAATTTAACTTATATAATATTTTAAAATATTACCAATAAACAAAAAACTTTAGCAACAACACGCAATAATCGCGAGAACATTCGAATTCGAGAAACGAAGCACGAATGACATCTATGACGTGATAAAATGGCGGCACAAAAAATGTTTTTGATCCCAATTGTGTTACGGGTATCATGAAATTATTTACAACCTAAGTATTTTATCACAATTCTTGTATTAAACGGAATTAAGTAATAATAAATATCGCAAAATGTGAATTGTTCTAAGTTTAATCGAATTGCGGTTTAAATTTTTTTTTAACATCTTTGTTTATGTTTTAGATATCTAATTATGATTCATACTATGGCGTTTGATCTCTTCAGTTTGTGTCACATGTGACTGTCATGTGAACGGGCTATGTAGTTTAAATGAGTTTTTGTTACAAAATTACGAATGAATTTGTGATTCCATGGCTTATATAAGGTAGCTACCATAATTCTATTACATCAGAAAAATGTTTAATACAATTTATAATTTTGTTACTAATTCTGTTGGGCGTAAAACTAAATTAGTTTTAGAAAGAGTAATTCGTTACGTTGTTGAAAAAAACAATTATTTTATATTTTAGTAAATAGTAACGTGCCGTCGGCGATTCGACATAAACGCCTGTCCTTTTTGAAAATTAAAATTTCATACAATAAAAATTCTGATTGCTGTAAGACAGTTTGCCATAATATATGCCAGTGTTGTAGACGTGGATATACATAATGCAGCAAGTTTTTTAGTATAATAAATATTAGACAACATCATATACGTTGTTCTTATCCCAAAGCACTCCCCGGACACTCCATACAACAGTCGAAAGTTATTTACCTACTACTACTACATACAGCAAGGTGCTATCTGCACACGCGCAAATGTGTGCGTGAAGTAGCAGGGTTACCCATCACTTTCTCGTACTATTACGTTACGTGGTCAGAGCGACAATATATTGAAAATTCTAAAGCGAATCTATAATTCTATTAATAGAGTCCTAATTAATTACACATGTTCATTAGGTATATAGGTATTATCGTTTAGATGATGATAAACAGCCGTACACAGCACAACTCATGACCATTATAAATAGTAACCTATAATGGTGTTATATATTAACGTACAAGTTTCGTAATGAATAAATGATAACTATATTCAAATAACAAAGCCGTCTTAGCGCGAAAACGGCTCAACGACAGACTTGTTGCCGTTCAATCAAATGTCCATTCTCGTTAATTTTTTTGTTCTCTGCCCAAAGTAACTAAAGCACTCGTGTTACGGAAATCAGAAATAATGACAGCACCACAAATATCCAAACAATGACAATATAGAAAAGTTTTCTACGTTGACCCAGCCGGGATCGAACCGGGGAACTCAGCGTAACCACTCGACCACTGAAGTCGTAAAGAATAAATAACTGTCAATGTAAAATAATTCGTATTCGATTATCGTAACATGGTGGCGCTAGAAAAAGGACATCGGACTTGTACCGCGTGTAAAGTTACTATAAAAAATTAAATACATTTCATGAAAAATAATTCATACAATAATTATTTGTGTTAAAATGTTCAGCTGTATTTCATAAAAAAAGATTTTCACTATTAAATTAATTATTTAGAAGTCACATGCTAATTTATATGCACTGTTTATATCGCATATATATACCAACAAAAATCATTTTGCTAAAAATGTTACAAAACACAGTACATTTTTATGTTTTTTCAGGCCGTGATAAAATATTTTTAGCGTTAAAAATAATTTAGTTTTACAAATCTGTCCAACAGAATCAGCAATTAAAACATTTAATATTCTACTACAATTGTTTTAATTATTACACCAATATTTACAATTTTTATTATTGTTATTATTAATTAATTAAATACGCCTTTTATAATTTACTCTTCAGTTTATTCTCTCATTTACATTTTCATTCTTTGATATTAATCAGATTGCTTATTTTTTTTTATTGCTTATACAATGTAATTCCATTACGAGAACGAAGAATGTAAAAATTTACTACGTTATTAGGATATTTTTTACTAAATGAATTACTAAGATTATTTTATACTAGTATCTTTATGTACATTTTAATTAAGTTCAAAATTATCTAAACCGTCATATTAACCAAAAATATCTAAACATCCAAAGGATTTCGGTGTCTTTTCTTTTGGATTGTTCTAGAATGTTTTAGATTCTTAGGGTATCAACGTACTGATCAACACGGTATCGGTTTGAGTTGGCCAAAAATGCGTCATGTCCACATGTAACTGGTAAATAAAGTCCAATTCTGATTTAATTTTTATTAAGAATAAATCCACAAGTATTCTCTTTTTAACCGACTTCAAAACAGGAGGAGGTTCTCAATTCGACTGTACGTTTTTTTTTCTTTTTTTGTATGTATGTGATGCGATAACTCCGGTATTTGTGAATCGATTTTCATGATTCTTTTTTTGTTGGAACTTCCATAGTGGTCCCATTTCATTTTGAAGAAAATCATCCCCCTCGAATGGCTGTTCACGCATGAAGATTCATTTTTATAAATAGCGCCTAACTTTAATTTAGGAGCAATTATTTTAATGGTTGATTTTGCTATTTCTCCAATTCTAGGCGTTTTTCTCTCAATATACTTTGAGTAGTGAGAACCGATTTTTATTATCTCCAGTGTCAAGTCCTGTATAGTGGCGAACTAGGGGATATTTCAATAAAACTTAGCAAATAGACGTAATTCCACGTACTTTTGAGGTCGGTTTTTTTAGTACTCTGTACTGAGATTATTCATTTATAATTTTTTTGTGAAAGCACTCCACTGGTTTGTTGTCATGATGGCACTCACACGACTATTTGTATTTGCATATTGGATATATTTGGCAAACAATCACCATGTATAGAAAGCACATGTGACAAAGCCTTGTTTGTTTACTCGACAAAAACAGCAAACACCAAACTCGCATTACCACGAGCTGATCGGTTCCTCGATACACGTCAAAGGAGCCAAATAGGCAAATATGCAAGAAAACCGTCCATATGTATATGTGTACACGGTCAGTATCTGCATGTTTGTCTGTAGTGCGATTCACGTAAGTTCAAGCTATCACAATATCGTTGAAGTTACGTAGTCGTTCGATCGAAGTCCTATCCAAAATGGGTATTCACGCATCACTTGAACGAACGTTGATATGAGTAGAATCGAAACGTAACGACTAATGAACGACGTCTTGGATTGTGAAATTTGACATTTAGTCGTCGAGAGTCTATTGAAAGAACTGTCAAAATTTTAGCAGAATACGTATGACTTGTCGTTTAGAGTCGATTTAAGTTCGTATCAAATACTAAAATACGCTTTAACGACATTTGGATCGAACGACTTTAAAATTGGACTCGTAGACGTTCACTGTCACGTGAATACGAAAAAGCAGTTCAAGGACTAAGTCGCTACGATATCGTAACGGTTCGATAATAATAATTCACGTAAATTACCCCCCAGGTCGCTAAATATCGTTCCAAGTACAACAACAAACAATTTTTGAACTCATGTCAGTTAAAATTTTCAATTATTCCTACCATTGTTTGGGTAGGTTGAAGTCAAAAGTTACTTTGTTTATATTCCGTCAAACCATTTATTTAACTTTTGACATTTGTATGCCTACGAAGTTCCGTAATTATCGCCATACAACCATAGGCAAAAAATGCAATGCTTCCTGGACTGTTTTTTTTAATTTTAGTGGAGGAAAGTGCTCTTTAGCTCCGACATTTACCGAGCCAACAGATTATGTAACGAAAATTATTCAAGTTTTGATACCTGTCTAATAAATTATAATAAGTTCTTATTCTTTATTACAATGAATCATTGACTTACAATTATATGGACGTCGGGTTCGCGCTAAAAAGTGTCCGAACTTATAGGGCGTTAAAATCGTATACAGAGCGTCTTCGTTTGTTCGACTGACAGTGAAGCAAGCAAAATTAGACAGTCCTGCGATGACATTACAATTTAAATTCAACGTTTTAGCTTTTTCATATTCCTTTAGATGTCACTACGTTTAAATAGGTTGACTTGGGACATTTTTTTTGTGGTTTTTGTATTAGACCCGTCGGCCATTTGTTTGTAAGTCAATGCAATGAATCATTGGATTCTTCTCCATATGAACGGGAATCATCACTTGAATACTCATTAATATTAATTATTAATTCTTGAGTACACAAATTGTCAAAAGCAATATCACGATTCCAATAAGACAATATCTTCTTTTTGGAACCCGCTCACATTCACGATCAAAACTTCTTAATAAATAATCGAATCGGAAACGCATCGGGACATCATTAATAGATTAGAATTCGAGCTGTCAAAAGTTAAACAAATGATTGGACGGAGTATACTTAGGATGTGTCGATATTTTAGGTTATTTTTATTGTTTAGATAATTATAAAACGGAATATTTCTGGTACATGATTAGAACAGGTAAATACCTGGTTTAAGTTTTTAGACGTAGTTTTGTGGTGCGGCCGACCAAACAACTTACACCACCAGCTTGAAATGCGGGTTAATCACGTAAGGTGAAAAAAAGCCGGTTGCAATTGAATTCTGTTTTTCCGGCTCAGTGTTGCCGTTTAAACCACTTTTTCTACTAATTATCAGTAAAAATTATAATAGTATTGTCCTTTAAACTACTGTTTCTAATAATTATCTACGAAATTTTTGATAATGTTTTATTTAAACTATTGTTTCTACAAATTATCAGTAAAATTTTTGATAATGTTGCAGTTTCTACAAATTATCTGTCAAACTTTTTGTGAAGTGAAGTTGAATGCTTATACTAATTTTCGGTCAGTTTAAACGGTAGTACTATGTCGAAAAGACAAATTGCCGTCGGACTGTCTTTCATCTTACAAGGTTAGCGTGCAGGTCTTGCTAAACCTAGTTTTTATATGGCCACCAATGGCGCGGTGTATCAGTTTATACTGGAAATGTATAACCGAAGCTTTAGCCGGGTGTACAATCAGCATCACAATACTGATGCCTACTGTACAATCGACTATAAAAGTGCATAACCCTCAGCGGAGAGGTAAACTTTTGTAGACTTGTGTAGACTTGTGTACAAATAGTTTTATGAATCTCATAATTACAATATAAAAAAAATCGATGTCAGTATCGAGTATCATTTGTGTCAAATATTTCAGTCTAACACTTTGGTATTTCTTTTCAATCGGGCAAGACTTTTAATATCTAATAGAGGGTGAAAATTAAATAGTTTAATTCTACATGAAACTAAAATCCTGATAAGTGACCATATATAGTCAGGAATAGAAAGGTGTCTCCCCTCTCACAGATTCGCAGGCCGAGAATTCAGCTGTCCGAAAAAACAGTATTTCATTACACACAATAAGTTTTATAACGTTTCATAATTAATTCTATTAAATTTTCACCCCATATATATAGTTCTTCTATATATAGTTCATAAGAGTTATGAATCGTCTTATTTCTTACATAGCTGCCTCGTCTTTTTGAACAATTCGCGTCTCTTCAATGTATGCAGGTCAATCTGTAAAGTATAAAAGACATTAGTTTTTATAAGGTAATATTGTACATAATAAGTACGCACATGGCTCAACAAGAGCGTTGGCGCACCACGTCGGGTTCGTATCAGTTCCGAATGATGGTCCGAAATTTCATACGGATTATTTTATTTCTGGATGTACGCGATATTAGTATTTTCGAATTAGGTGGAGTTAAGTCACCTTGCCACTAGATGGCGTTGCTTTGTGAATAATATCGGTGACGAGTAGGTGGCGCTATTTATGATATATGCCATACATATAAACAGGCATACGGCCCGCCTGATGGAAAGCGGTCACCGTCGTCTATGAACGCCTTTTTTCGTTTTTTTTATAACACCAAGTGACGGGACGAACAAGTCGTGCGCCTGATGGTAAGCTATACGCCTGTCCATAACAGTTACAGTGCCACTTACAGCTCCAAATTGCAAAGATCTGAGGGGCACTACCACTACGCCCGTCACCCCGAGCTGTAAGTTTACAAGTCTCATGTGCCTGTGATTTCACCAGCACCCTTACCCTTCAAAACCGGAACACACTGACATTACTGCTTGGCGGCAGAAATAGGTAAGGAGCTCTACTGTTACAAATTTCGAAATTTAGATTCGCAAAGTTTCGGATTCGAGACGAATACGAATGCATGATGACGAATATGAATGGATGCAATGAGCAAACGCGCTTACGCATGAGGATTGCAAATCTCCATGTTACAGATCGTAACTCTGAAAAAGGTCCCGTCTTCTATGATACGATGTGGCGCTGATCAATAATAAATAGCCTGAAAGTAGTTTATATAAATGGCTGTGGATATCAACTGATTCCTCTTTAATATGAACTAGTTTCTTTTGAACCTACTTCAAAAAAATGAGGAGGATCTCAATTCGACTTTTGTGTATGTTATATTACGCGATAGCTACAGCATTTGTGAACAGATTTTGATGATTCTTTTTTGTTGGAAAGAGGGTACCTCAATAGTGGTTCCAACGAGTATATAACCAGAAATAGAGACAATTTAAGGGTCATACATTCCTGGTAACTCAACTGTGATACATCACTTATAAATATCAACTCTCGTTTGCACTGAAATCACAAATTACAAAGCTGAAATAGTACAGCGCCAACAATTGACCTGTGTACGGAGAAGTACTTCTCCGTATATTCCAAAAATATTCTGTATTTATTGTAATAAAGATAATATCTTTAACTATGGGGGACTGTTCCATTTAATGGTGTGATAAAAACAGCAAAACACCTAATTACAAAACAAACGGAATCACATTTCATCGGTAATTAAACATGTAATTTTTAAATTTTCGTCCATTATAGCAATGCTCAAGTTAAACAGGTCGATCTGAAGTGAGACAATTGACGACTCACGTTAATTGTTTCGAATTCGAGCTAGCCAATCGGAGCGCAGTTGTCACCGTAATGATTTGACAGAGTAGTTTTCAAACAAATTAAATGGCATTTCGTGTCTCTTTCTGGTTATATACTCGATGTTAAACTTACGTTAAGCGGCCTACCGGGCGTGGAAGGCCAGCACAGTAGCGAAGAGCGCGAACAGCCCGCAGAGCAGCGCGGAGAGCGGCGCGCTCGCCACGCCCGCGCCGCGCACCAGCGCGCAGGCGGCGCACGACACCGACACCAGCAGCCCGTGTGCCGTGCTCCTGCGCACGGCCACAGGGCCATTTAATCGATTGCAACGCCGGGCAGCGCCATCTACCGGCCGTGGCTTCGAACCGTGTACAGTTCACAGAAAATAAGTTACTTGTTTAATTTGCCTAATTTTATTGTATTTGATTATTTTGCAATTTTATTTTATTTTCAAATTAATATGGATCCATTTTGATTTTTTATTTGTTGTGTAGTTTTTTTAGTAATAACATAACAATTGAATCCTTTTCATTTTATTTATTATCTGTTCTTAAATCCACTAAATCGATTCTCTCTTCGTTACAAATTGTCTCGATAAGATATTTTAATCGATTTTTCTTCATTCGATTCTATATCACTACAACTCTGAAAACTTTAAATCTCAAACGTCACCTTACAAAATGGCGGGCTTTTGAAGTTACAAGTACGCTTTTACAAAGATTATTTTTATTTTAAATATATTATGAAGAAAAAACGAAGAAAGAAATAGTAATGAAGAAATTTAGATCTATATTTCTTATTTTAAACCAAGTTACAAAAAAGCTTTATAGTAACAATTCCAATAACTACGAATTCAAAGCTTTTGTTGAAAGTGACAGAAGATAATGTGATTTAAGTGAAAATGAAAACATAAATATTGACTCCCGCCGGTTAAGACTATTTAAAAAACCCAAATAATTGAACTAACTTATTTATGAGAAAGTAAAACGTAATGTATTAGAATCATAATGGAAAATATTACAGAGGATCCCGATCATTTTAAACGAATACATGGCTTAAAGGACTTGTGTCCAAGCCAAAACTCTTAATAAAAACGTCACCTTACCCATGCTATGTGAAATGAACTTTATTATTGACTAAATTAGCGTCATCTACTTTTCAACATGTGGACCACGACACACAAAACATGTTACGCCGCGCCATAGTCTTCGTAGCACAGTCCACTAGAAGTCTCTAGTAACAATACCAAACATGACTTCGTCACGCTTATTACATTACAGATTTGAAGGGAGGATCTTAGGGAGGTGTAATAATATTCAGGGTCCCTAATCAAGGCCACTTATTGAGTTAATAAAAGTGGCGCCCTAATTGGGCCGCATAACGCAGGGCCTTTGAAATCGGGTCGTGTAATAAGCGCTTGAGTTCATAGGGCCTTACCTAAATCCTGCCGGGTAGCTGTCCACAACATTGGTACCAACTGTGTAGAACAGCAGAGTGAGGGGTACGCGATATACCGCCTCTACGATGTACAGAGCTGATTCTCGTCTGGCGAAGTATATGGCAGGCGACAAAAGGACTAGAAAAATGCAGAGGGCCACTGGAATTTAAAGAAAATGTTTTGTCTGTAACAAGTACACATAGCGACATTTTTCTTTATAATATACTCGTAGACCTTAGCTCGACTTAAAAAAATACTAATACGGTTCATTTTTCTTGGATCAAGCGACAGGGACATTAGTTTTATTTCAGAAATTAAAGTCATTTGAAAAATGTATTATCATATAATACAGGAACGTTCTATTTAGTTCAGTTGATATATAAAAAAAATTTTATATGTAAAGTACCTATGGTAGCGGTTTTCTTGTAAAATTTCGAGGTAAGTTTGTGTTTTTTTCTGTAGTGAAAAATTTTTCAATGTTATGCGCAATCAACCAAAGCCATTTGAGGTTGTATCGATTGTGAACAGTAATATAGACTGATTGATTGCTACACAATTGATTAACTTTAACATTCCAAGAATCTCCTCAAGTACCAAAAATATTTTTTATTGTTACCTACATGTTCTACAAATTTCATCAAAAACACATCTATTCGACACTCCTGTAGGTATTATAATAATAAATTGAAAGAACATTTTTCTTTATCGTTGATGAGTTACAAGCACAAAGCGGGAGATATCATATTTTACAGAGGACGCCATGAATAATTTAGAATGAACTAAAACCTCTGTGATAGCTGGTCCTTACTATGTTTATTTCTTATTTGATAGGTGCGACCTTTTTTTTGGATTGGGGTCCATTGTACAAATTTAAATTTTGTATTATTAGCAATTATTTAATAGAACAATCTGGTCTGTTAGTAATTTAATGTATATTTTGTAAGACTTGTATAACCTAAACATAAATAAATAAAAAACACCAACTGAGCTACTGAGTTAGGTGAAATTATTTATTTATTTATACATTTTAGGAAAATTCACGGACAAATAATACAAAAATAATATACTTAAATATGAGTAATCCAATGTCATTTACGAATTTCCACCAACATGAAACAATATAAAGTGCTTAGTAAACCCAAAAAGAGATTATAAGGGAAAACAAGACCACAGTCACTAATTTGAAAAAAATCAAATAAAAATAAAATAATAATACCAAAATAATAGACAATTAAACGAACAAACCAGTGTATTCATCGCCAATCACGCGATGTGTCAAAGTGACGTTTGGTCTTTTCTCGCCTAACTGTGTCTAAGCTTGAACAAAACAAATCAAATTCAGAATGATTTACTGTCGCACTGTTAAAAAGTCTCAATGTACGTACCATGTACGTATTTTGCCTATAATTAGTGCTCGCAAACGGCACTTGCAGAGGTGGTCGACATCTGTAATGCAACATGTTTGTGCGCAGGTTTATGTGTGACAACAATCTGGACAATCAATATTACCGTTGGCGATTCTCATCAGAAAACTGACGTCACCAATGTCTCGACGTATTTTGTTTAAAGATGGGCAGTGGATTAAGACTCAGTCAACCAGCCCGGTTTTTAACACCAGGTTTTAATCCATTTCGTTGCTTCTGCTATTGCCAAGCACAAGTCCGGTCGTGTATGGAGTACTGCTGTCACTTATGTGATGGCTCTGCTAAATACCAACAGGCCACCTTGGGCTCAATCGACAAACGTGCCAAGAGGCTTATTAGGTGACTCGGAATTAGTAGAGGCAAAGCTGCAGAACCTTGAACACCTCTGTAAAGTTGCCTCCTTATCAGTATTCTACAGGATATATCACGGAAAGTGTGCGATGGAATTGCATAATTTGATTCCGCCTTCCCCTTTCCATCATCGGCGGACTAGGCGTAAGCTGGGATTCCACCCATATGTTATGGACATTCCAAAGATTCGCACGAAGCGTTACGCTTCCACATTTATATGGCGAACGGCTATGGAGTGGAATTACCTGCCTGCAGACTTGCTCCCTGAAAGTTATAACGTGGACCTTTTCAAGGCGAGAGTGAATAGGCATTATTTAGTTGTGCATGCTACATCGTCGACCTCATCGTCACTTTCCATCAGGTGAGACGGAGGTCAAATGCGCACTTACTTTTATAAAAAATAATTTAAAAAAATCTTTCTACTGTTCTTATTACAAAGTTGGATGTGAAAAATATTTTCAGGCGAATAAGAGGTAACTCCATACAGCTCAACCTATCTTGCAATCCCGTGGATTTTCACTACTAACGATGCACATTACGACTCGATTTTTATGAAAATCGATTCAATACGATCTAACGATTTATTGTATCGATTAATTTTAATGTTATTTTGAAGGGAATCGATTGAAAAAAAAGGCAAATTTAATCATCTAGATCCAAAAGCAATAAACATTTTCTTATAATATTAAATTTAAACAAAATTCGATTTACAACAAGTGCAAATCGTTTTTGCTCTCGATTTCAGGCAGTAATGGGTTTCACAGACGCACGCACGCACGCACGCACGCACGCACGCACGCCCGCACGCTAATAATAAGTACTGTCCAGTCTTAGTTTTTATTTTTATGGTTTTTCCTTTTTTTTAACAAATTTCTACGTCAAGCACCAGCTCCCACAATATACTACTGTAATTTACCTACTAAGATTTATATTGTGTTGTGTTTTATGGTGAGAAATAAACATATTTATTATTATATTTATCTCTGATTTTGTTGCAAAATTTTCACAAAATATATGAATATAATGGTGGCTAAAACATGATATTCAATAGATAAATATAATTGTAGTTTTATTTCAAATTGATATATTTCAGATCCATGGCTAAAACATAAATTTATTATTATTAATAATAACATGTAAGAAGTCGTAAATGTCAAAAACTACAAGAGGCCTATATTCATCAGTGGGTGAAGTTGGGCGCTACTCACGTTGTGGCCGGGCCTTCTGCGGTAGCAACGCAAGTACAGAAGCTATCAGCATAGCATGTGACACGTAGCTCTGTGAACAAAAGGAAACTTTACAGTTTGTACAACAAGAACCAAAATTGGTTATAGAAAACATGCTTTTACTTTTCTATTATGCTATCCTTCATTCTATAGTCTTTTATTATTTCTTCACATTGATTGAGAAAAGCACCATACACACCTCGGCGGGAACGGGATTGCCTGATTCGTATAATACAACTTGCAACTCATACTCGTCCGGCAATCATTTACTTCCGATAATGCGATAATGTATTATTAAACAGAGATTCGATTTTTTTATGATACAAAGTGTCGGGTTGAACTAAATCTTGCGCCTGTAAGCAAGCGACACTTGCAGTGCCACTCAGAGCTTTAAATGTCAAAGATTTGAGGGCTGCGCTTGTCACCCAGAGACATAATGTAATTGTTGAATAGACAATTATTTAATTAGAATTGGACAATCAAATCTGCCTGTAGCCCATTTTCTGATGCTGTTGTGACTTCTGATACTAGCTATGAGCGATACAATTTGCTGTTTGTGTCTTTCTTCCTTCCCGGAAGAGTATTATGCAAAATAGCTTCAATAAATAAATGTGCAATCCTTATGTATTGGATGTCCATCCTTGTTCATGATAATTACAGTCCAGTGTACTAATTACATCTATTTGACACGTTTTATTGAAATCAGTTACCGGAAATTTCGAGATACCGGGTTCATCCTCTAGCTTGTGGAATATTTTCCGCTGCCCCGTCAGTCGCCATTGGGCGCTTGTCGTCGTTGAATTTATGTCAAATTTTCTCATGGACATGTAACTATACCTACACCCAGGAGGCCTATACCCAACAGTGTGTGTTAACGGGCTGAGACGATGATGATGACGAACTATATCTACTGTCTGAAATATTTTCTATGAAATAAGTTCACCTGTTCGGTAGTGATCCCATCCAACCGCGATGTCAAATCAGGATGCCTGTTGCAAGCTGGCCTCATACCGCGTAGTGTTGTTCCGTTCAATGTACACCACTCGTCTAGTTCTTGGCCTACTTCCATATCCGTGTCTATTATACTAAATAAAAAAGATTTGAAAATTAAAGCGGTCTCATCTCAACATCAATAGCAAGCTCATAAACCATCGCCTATATAACCAGAAATAGAGAGATAATCATCCCTGGCAACTCATCAGGCAAATGAACCTTATATCACTTTTAAATATCAAATATCGTTTGCATGAAACCACAAATTAGAAAGCTGAAATGGTACAGTCAACAACTGATCTGTGTGTATGTCTCCGTATATTCCTAACAATGGGGGCTGTTCCATTCGGTGGTGTGGGAAAAATGGCAATTACTTACAAATTAAACGGAATTACATTTCATCGGTAATTAAACATGTAATATTTCAATTTTCGTCCATTATAGCAAATCTCAAGTTAAACTGGTCGATTTAAAGTCAAAACAATTGACGACAACCGTCAATTGTTAAGAGTCCGGGCTGGCCAATGGGAGCGCAGTTGTCACCGTAATGATTTGGCAAAATAGTTTTCAAACAAATTAAACGACATTGCGTCTCTATTTCTGGTAATATACTCGATGTCATAAACAGTACTGGGGGCTTAATCCCGTTCTGGGTCCGACATCTGCCCGAAACAATTACCGTCGAATGAGTAATATTCGATTAAATTAAAAGATGCATGATGCGAATGAATCTTCATACTTTACATTATCTTTTGATTTGGTGGAGTGTCATTAAATACGTCACCTTGTCACTAGATGGCGTTGCTTTGTAAATAATATCGGTCATTAACAGGTGGCGTTTTTATGATTGTTAAATATATACAGGGTGTCCGGTAAAGAATGGATAAGCCTGAAATGCCTTATAGTAGAGCTTATGAACATTCAAAAATAAATATAAAGAAAAATATATCCCATACAGTACCTAAGATATTATATTTTTTTCATTAAATTTAATTATTTTCATCTTATGTATGTATTTCATCTTAGGTATGATAGATATACATTTATATGAATGATATTCGCACCCCTCATAGAAGAATGGCATAAGTGAAGTTACGTCAAAAATGCTTATTATTTTTATTCTATTCTATTACTCCATTAGATACTGAATAATATAACCGACATTCTCTCCGATTCTTCTAAGTCTATCGACAATATTAGTAGATAAGAGTTACTACAACTGGAGAGGATGCGTATATACATACATATATATATTTTTATGTATCTAATACAGCAATAAACATTTTTGACGTAACTTCATTTATGCCATTCTTCCATGACGGGTGCGAATGTGTAGGCAGCAAACAAGCATGGAAAGCGGTCACCGTTTTGTGTGATACAAGTGACGGGACCAACAAATCGTGCAACTGATGGTAAGCGATACCATACACGCCTATCCATAACAGGTGCAGTGAGGGACACTAGCACTGCGCCTCTCTGCCTGTAATTTCAACAGCACCCTTACCCTTCAAAATCGAAACATAGTAATGCTCACATTACTGCAGAAATAGGTAGTTTATTTTCTGCATTGACCGGGGATCGAACCCGGGATCTCAGAGATGGCGACACCATGAAAACTGGCTTCCAATCTACTCGACTGCGGAGATTGTCAAAAATCATAAACAACAACTTTTGCTCCATGATTTTTTGCAAAACATCGCAAGACGCTTTCTACTTACGTGCTATTAACAAATAGAGATCCCTCAAACTTGGTGTAGGAAGTTTTCACGTTGGAAAACGTGACGTCGAAGAAGGAGCAGTTCTTGAACGACACATGCGACATCAGCATGTCCCTAAAAATAAATACAAGATATAAACATGGATATAAATAACTGACGATAAATTTACTATAAAAAACAAAACAGACCTCAAAAATTCGTGGAATTAGATGTATTTGCCAAATTTTATTGAAATCGGTTACCGGAAAGTGCGCAAAACCGGATTCATAACTTAGTTTGCCACCCTTCGAGATGGACTATTTTCTTCAAATTTAAATATGACCAACACTGAGATACTCTGTTTCTAACAAAAAAAAAGAATCATCAAAATCGGTAAAGCGACAGTCGAATTGAGAACCGCTTTGTTTTTCTTGAAGTTCGTTAAAAAAACGCAAAAAGAACAAGAACATTTTGGTAAAACTGACAAACTACTGTCCGTTTCAAACCATTCTATTAAAAATAAAAACAAATAGGTCATTGACCCGACCATAGACAGTTTAGTAATGGCCATTTGAGGCTATCAGCGCGTAAGTAAGTGGTGTAACCATCAAGTATATAACCAGAAATAGAAACGAAATGTCATTTAATTTGTTTGAAAACTATTCTGCAAAATCATTGCTGTGACAACTGTGCTCCGATTGGCCAGCCCGAATTCGAAACAATTGACGGGTGTCGTCAATGGATGTCGTCAACTTCAAATCGATCAGTTAACTTGAGCTTTGCTATAATGGACGAAAATTGCAAAATTACATATTTAATATTTAATTACCGATGAAATGTGATTCAGTTTGTTTTGTAATTACATGTTTTGCTGTTTTTCCTACATCACCGAATAGAACAGCACGGCATTGTTAGAGATATTATTTTTATTACAATAAATACAGAATATTTTTTGGAATATACGGAGAAGTATACACAGGTCAGTCTTGGCCTGTCTATATTTTAGTGCAAACGAGAGTTGATATTTATAAGAGCTGTATCGCTAATGTGTTACCAGGAATATATGGCCCATAATTCGTCTCTATTTCTGGTTATATGCTCGATGGGTGTAACAGACTTATTTTCTAGAGTATTACCTTATTGGGATACTATTTCCATGTATATCAAAAAATATAATATCAAATAAAAAAATACATATAAAAAAATGAATGAATGAAATATTCTTTAGTGCACTTTAAAAATTACATCGATAACACAAAAGACTATTATAGCGTAGGTATTTTCGATAAGAGTGTAATATGTGCCTATGCACAAACACTTACCTAAAAGTACAGTTGGTAAAAGTGACATAGTTGTACTCGATGTTTTCCAAAGTGCGGTTATAATGGTCGTTTTGGAACGATACATTCGATATAACTTTCTTTGACGCCCCGAATAACTCGTTTTCCATACGCAATACAGTCGATGGAATGTACGAGGACAGGTAGAACTGCAAAAGTTAAACATGTAGTTAACATTGAACATGGAATTCTAAAGTGCCTCTACCAGGAAAGTACAGTCAGGGAACAAAAAAGTAATGACAACGGACACTCTCCGCCCCTCCATAGCTTTAGATACCGCACCACGCCCCACACATTGACTGAACGGAAAACGGCTTTGATATTTGACTATAGTTTTCATTTATTAATTACGAAACTTGTACTTTGTATATAACATCATTGTATGCTACTATTTATAATCATAATTAGATAAAGAGAGGAGTTTCTTGCGTTTTCCGAAAGATGACACGAATTATGTCTGAGACTCATTCAGTTATTTCTTCATTTATTTAGTGCAGAGTAATACATAACAGAGATTTATTATATCAATATAATGAGACGCCATAACTTCGTAAGCTAGCAGACAAGGGTTCTCGAATTTCCAATTTGTATTGCCGAACACGCAATTTTAAATACTTTGATTACCTTATTTAAAAGTAACTGTCCAAAATATAACATTTTAAGCGCTTTTAATATGTTTTTTAAATAAATCTTTAATATTATTGTAGTTAGTGAATTAATGAAAAATATAATATTATATCGATATAAATACCCAATTAACATGTGTAATTATTAGAATTCTATTAATATAATTATAAATAACAGATTCGCGTTAGAATTTTTGCTATGTTGCCGCTGTGACCATGTAACGTAAAGCGTCAAAACGATAAATAAGAATGTATTTTTTTTAGTGACATCAAGTGATAGGACGAATAATGTAAGGTAAATGCGATTAGAATCTTGTATTTGTAGATTACCTGTATGACCATCGAGAAGAGAAGCACTCCTCCTAATGTGTAAGTAGTTCTTCTGTAAGTGCTGGAGAACAGCTGGAAGAATGACTGCCAAAACTAAAAAGAAAGGAATATTTATTTATCTACGCACATACCATAAACCCTCTATGGTGTGTTCAAAAACCGCAAATGACGACCAGCATAAAGATAAACTGTTTTGTTAGAACAAATTTCTTATTTTATTTTGTGAAAATGTTATTAATTCGATTTTATTATTACATTCAAATTTCGAACATCTCTGAAAAACAAAACAGTTTGATTCGACTTCAATTTTAATATCAGTCGAGATGAAGTTTTATTCGAAATGAAATGTCAATAGCAAACAATTTTGACAAATCTCACACGTTACTTGATATCGAACGATATGATAGTTGGCCGACTCTAGTTTGTCTATGATTAAAAAAAAACTACGGTGGCATGTCAGCGGGAGAAATAAGTTTTTTGCATTATTTTCCTACTAATTACTGCTAATAGCTTTGATCAATGCCGCAACGCCGGTCGTAACATGCAGTTCCTGAACATATCATATAGAGCTTATAATATGTCTATAAATAAAGCAGTGTATGTAACTGTACATAATTAGGCGTTAAAATACTCGTGTGATGTTTTATAAATCCGTAGTTTAATACCTTTCATTATGTAACAGTTACGTGAATTATTATTATTAGATCACATACAGACAGACTACAGAACATAGCCACACACACAAACGTATAGACATCTGATAGGGCATGGTAATCCACTAATTGAACTAGATACAGGGTGTAAGTGTGCCCAGGCGATTATTCCATAAATCTAAGAGATATCAAAAAGCTTTAAACTGATATCGAAATTACGTTACCTAATGAGTAAATCGACATCAATAACTTTTTTTAAATAAAACTAGAAATATCCAAAATTTTAACATAAAACGCTCCGATACATTTAACATGACAAGCAAGACGCTTTAGTTGACCTACTTTAAGAGGTAACAATATGTTAACAGACAACAAAACTGATACAAATATAGTAATAAAACTAACGTTTAATTGAATAAAAATATAATGCCTTAGCCAATTATTTGGTCAAGCGCGAGTTGTCCATAAAAATAAATAAAATTGATAAATTCTTTGTACTGCTGATCGACTCAGTTTCATGTAAGGAACATTTCATTGTATGGGACAAAAAATCGGGACAACAGAAGTTGGTCAAATTTAATCAAATGGTTTTTATGCATAATCTCAGCATAGCACTGTGATTCCCCCATAGGCCATAAATCAAAAAAAATCATTGGCTTATCCCGGTTAGATCAACTCACTAAGTTAGTAACTAGTTAACAAGCTTCCAAAAACTATAAATATCAATGTAATTAGGTCACGTTATCATTCACTTTTGTGCATCGGAAGTGAGCGCATCGCGAGACTAATTATCACCACGTGTGAGTCATCGAAACTTAATCACTTTGTTTTTGAGTGTCACTATTCCAAATCAAGTGTTTACGTGTTGTGAAAGCATGGAGATCCAAGAGCATGGTATGTACTTTTATTATCAATTTTTTTTCATTTTTTTTATGCATACTTTTTTTTATATAATTTTTTTATTGAAGGCAGTTTTTTGGTGAAAATTTTTGGCATAACTTAATTTCCTTTAGACCTACAACTTTTGGCTGCGCTGAGCTGCACCTGAGGTATATGGTTTTTGAATAAGGAGTATGTCCTTATTAAGAGCTATGAGTTTCATTTGCATCTTGCTGCCTCTTCTTGGCTTAAAGGGGTGTCAAAGTATGCATGTCCATAGTATTGAATTTTTAATTTTTTTTTAAGTTCAGCTTTCATATTGTTTTAGGTACATTTTTCAAATGTTCTGTATCGAGGATGACAATTTTTGATATTTGGCACTCTAAAGTGGGTAATCCAAATGAAAAAATGCAACACGTCCTGAGCACTTTGACCGAAACATCATCCCTTTCTGACGACATCGAAAATATTGATTTAGAGACTTTAAGCCTTAAAATTAAGAATATTTGTAAACGAATTTCCCACTACTGGGCAAAGTCGAATCGTACTAGATCTAAATTCTTAGAAAAATATTCAGATTGGCTGCATGTCGTTGAAAATATTGATGTACAGCGAACTGAGTTACGTGTATCTCAGAGCTTTGACGAAGTTAAACCATCAACTTCTTCATCGCATGGCCGTCCGAGAATTAAGTTTGAAGACACCAGTAAACGTACAAAAAGGAGAAGATTGGCTAGTTTGTCTAACCAAGACCCTTCTCTTGTACAGTCATTGCTCAATGCGTCCGATAGCTTGTGTTTAGGCCTTAAAGCGCCTACAGTGATTGTTACAGCAATCACATTTTCACTTGTGATTGCTCCTATAGTTTCTCCATAATTTTTATTGACAATAGTGGTGGTATTTATAAAAAACTTCTCTTCTGTTAAAACCAGCGACGAACACGTGTCAGTTTGTACTTCCTAAATGTATATCGAGAATAAACGTCTGCAACTACAATTCAGGATATTTTAATTGAGAAATTCATCCAGCCACTTCTTGCCTAAACAGCTTGTCTTGTCCTGAAATCGATTCTAGCGAAGTTTTATCGCTCATTGTTGAAGCTCAGTTAACTCGACATCAATATATATTAGTAAAGAATTTTATAGACAATAAGTTTTCAAAAACCATTTTCCCATCTTACCAAAGTGTCGTGGAATCTAAAAAACACTGTTATCCTTCAGATATTACTGTTACAGAATCATCCGCCGAAGTCGAACTTCAAAGTTTATTAGATCATACTGCCAATCGGATTCTCAAGTCTCAAAAAGATGTTTTGGATAGTGTACCTAATGAGTCTCTAGATAAGATATCTTTGATAGGGAAATGGGGTTTCGATGGCAGTACAGGGCATTCAGAATATAAACAGTGTTTTTCTGACTCCACTCTTGAAGACAGTAGCCTGTTTGTTACTTCGTATGTGCCACTTCAGCTTGTTTTGACAACAGATAACAAAGAAAATTCAGTAGTTTTGTGGAAAAATCCTCGTCCTTCATCAACTCGATACTGTCGTCCTATACGCCTCCGATATTTGAAGGAATCGACTGCAGTGTCAGTTGAGGAAGAAGCTCATTTTAAAGATAAAATAAGGAACTTGCAGCCTACTGTTTTCAAGGAAGAAGATCGCGAATATCGCATTACTCATTGTTTGCAACTTACTATGGTAGATGGTAAAGTGTGTAATGCACTTAGTGGTGTTTCTTCATCAAAATGTTTTATTTGTAACGCCTTGCCCAGTGAAATGAACAAAATTGACGAATGTTTAAATAAGGAAGTCGATGAGAGTAAATATGAATTTGGTTTATCACCTCTTCACGCGTTAATACGTTTTTTTGAATATTTTGTTCATGTCGCGTACAAGTTAGATGTTAGGAAATGGCAAGCTAGGTCCGCTAATGACAAAATGCTTGTTGCTGCAAAAAAATCATATGTTCAGACTCAATTTAGAGAAAGATTAGGGCTTATAGTGGATAAGCCTAAAAGTGGCGGAAGCGGAACATCAAACGATGGTAATACAGCCAGGCGGTTTTTCTCGAATTCAGAAATTTCCGCTGAAATTACTGGGATCAAGAAGGATCTCCTAGATCGTTGCTGGATCATCCTTCAATGTTTAAATTCGGGATATAATATTAATAAGACGAACTTCGAAGAGTTCGCTTTAGAGACGGCTCGGCAGTTAGTTGCCGAGTATCCGTGGTATAACATGCCTGCTTCCGTTCACAAAGTTCTAATTCATGGTGCTAATGTTATAGATTACGGTTTGTTGTCAATCGGAGAGTTGTCTGAAGAAGCAGCTGAAGCGACTAACAAATACATCAAGTCTTTTAGAAAAAATCATACGCGTAAAATGAGTCGCATTGTGACCAACACAGATTTAGTAAATAGGCTGCTTCTTCATTCAGATCCCTTCATAACAGGTCTACGAAAGTTACCTGTTAAAAAAAAGGTGTACTGTCAAAAGCTGTATTAGACTTGTTATGTATTTAAAGTTAATATTGTTGAGATTTAATGTATTTTGGTATAATTTGTGTTTTGTTTGTATTTTGTAAAATGAACTTTTTTATGTATTTTTATTGTTTTAATTTATTCATTTGTGGTTATTGTTAATACAAATAATCATTATTTACACAGTTTTACCATTAAAAGTCGCAGTATAAAATGTTTTAGATACATCGTCTAAAAACAAAATTACTGCGAGACATTTTTACACCTAAATATTGTCAAATATTTTTTAAAATGTATAATTTTATTAATTTACGTTTACCTAATCATATTTTAACGTAATAAAATAAAAAAATAATAATAATTTCGGAGTTACGTATTTATGACCGCCTTAGTATGGAGCGTGAATCACCGTGCATAGTGTACAAAAAACCGGCCTCAAAAATTCGTGGAATTCTATCTATTTGCCAAGTTTTACTCAAATTAGTTACTGGAAATTTGTGTGGGTGTGTGGATGTAGTGTGCGGTGGTCCGTGTCTGCGTGCGTGCGTGCGCGTGTGTGTTGTGTGTGAGTGTATGTTTGTGTTTACATACAGTTTGTGTAAGTACTGAGGTGTTGCACGAAATTTTCGTGATGGTAAAATTGTCGAAGAAAATATTTGTTATAATTGTAAGGTAGGCTGAGATTTTTGGTTTTGATAGTTAATTAATTCCAAGCGCTACTACAATAGGTCTTCGGTTTCAAGATAATCATCTAAAGGATATATGTTGAGGGTTTTATTAACTTTATTATACAGAAGGTATTATATTATGGCCTTGGTAATGGGCCTTATTAGACTACTATAAGTTTATTCTATTAAGTTGAACTCACCATCTTAATGCTATGTTTGACGTGATTGCTGGCTTGGGGCCGTCTTTTCCCCGGCAAAGAGAGTTCCCCAAGGTGGTATGCTGGGGCCCTGTTGTTTGCAGCTGCTACGTTTGCCTTGCCGCATATACGGATCTGATTGCCACTGTGCAGGTTCTGTCATGACAAAAAATATAACGTTAAATGAGTGAAATAGATGCATGAGTAAGAAAGAACTAGGACGACAGTGTCATTTTAAAACTTGTATTTTGGAATTCTGAAATAATTAAATAATAATTTGACTCCATTTGATTTTATTTTTTGATGCTTAATGAGAGTGTCCTATGTTCAAGCTACACGCCTGTCCATAACAGTTACAGTGCGACTCAGAGCTTTAAACTGCAAAGATCTGAGGGGCACTACCGCTATGCCCGTCAGCCTGAGACATGTGTTGATAAGTCCCATGTGCCTGTAATTTCACCAGCGCCTTTACCCTTCAAAATCGGAACATAGTAATGCTGACATTACTGCTTGGCGGCAGAAATAGGTAAGGTGGCAGTACTTCCCTGGACGAACTCTTCCACAAGGAGCTCCAGCTAACTACTCTCTAACTAGGATATTCCCTAGTTTGTTACCTGGTAAACCACCATAGCGTCGACTTCCCTCCCCACCTCGAGGAGGTATCTGGGCGACTCCTGGGTCCAGATGAGGCTTACCAGTGAAGCCAGTATTGGCAGAGTGCATAGGAGGAGATACCTTTAAAAAATGAATGTATTTTAATTCAACAATTTTTTATGTATACTATGCCATTAGTGTTGTGGGTACAATTGTTCTGTATAGGGTGGCTGCAATTGTTCTGTGTTCTTCGCTATGACGTGGCTATTATTGTTTACTACAGGGTGGCTACTATTGTTCACTACGGGGAAGCGACGACTGGTCACCATAGGGAAATTAGTATTATTCGCTTACAGGATGGCTACAGTTGTTCGCTTACGGGGTGCCTACAACTGTCTGATTTTACGGAGTGGATACAATTGTTCACTTTGACGTGGCTATTATTGCTTACTACAGGATGGCTACTATTGTTCACTACGGGGTGACTACAAATTGGTCACTGTAGGGTGGCTACTGTTGTTAGCTTTTACGGGGTGGCCACAATTGTTCACTATGAGGTGGCTACAAATGACCATCAGTGGGTGGCTATTACTGTTTAATGCTGGTTACACGTACCTATGCCAAGCGCTGAAGTGCTCCTTGTTCTCGATGAGAGTGAGCGCGCCGTTGGGCGGCAGCACGGCCGAGGCCAGCGCCGCGGCCAGCAGCGCGCCCAGCCCCGCGGCGCACACCAGCGCCGCCAGCGCCCGCGGCCGGCACGCACGTGACGTCACCTCGCCCGTGTACGTGTAGCACGTGGGCACGATGCCGCCCGACCCTATCGCCGAGCAGAAGCTGCAACGCGACATCGGTTGCTGTACTTCTGTGCGTCGCTACAGATCTATTTTATCTCGTGGGGCAGGACAAAACTTGCACAGCTTTGTTTATAGTGATGAAACTTTTTTGAGAAGTATAGAATAGAATACATTTAGTTGCCAGAATACAGTAGTAGATAAAGGTCTTAAGTAAAATTAGGTAAATTGTATTCAACCTTTAAACAGATGTGCAACTATTAATTTCATGTTCGGTTACCACTGTTAATTGCAATTCAAGTAAATGTAAATTTGTATTTGAAAATTCTAAGCATTCCTTATTACTATAGAAGCAAAAGCCATTTTGTTAATTGTAATTTAAAAGTGTGTCCTTGTAACAATTTCATTTCATTTGGAAAATTGTTGAAAATGGCAACGAAGTTGGTACAAAGGATTCATAATTTTTGCTCTAGTGTGCCTGTGATTAATTTCACGATTAATTTTCATAGGCTTATATAACTTTTTGGGGAGCCCGCGTTGGATCATTGTGGTCAGGAGGACGACAATTATAATACTAGTTAATCTATTTATAGTACATAATCCATGAATAATAATAATATACATACATAATAATTGCCTCCGTGGCAGAACGCTTACCATGCTGAACTGAAACGCAGAGGTCCTAGGTTCGATTCCCAGGCCGGGAGAAACATTCATATGGCTTACATTTACTTCTCTCGAGAGTTTGGGTGTAATTTGTGGTCGTCTATGTGTGTGTCCATGCCACGCTTGTGCTTTATAAAAGATAAAGCAACATCAAGGTCAGTTTATGGCAGCTGTAAAGGCACCGGTTGAGTGAAGAGGTTCATAAATCTCTCATAAGATGTCGCTTACGGCGTTGAAAACCGAACACAAAGATCTACTTATACAAAACGCTGCTTTATCGACCTACAGCTCAGTTGTCAGAGTGACGCTACGGTACAACGTGGTCGCAGGTTCAAGACTTGACTGGTCGAAAGAATTTTTCTTTGTGTTCGATATTTGTGTTAATAATTACTTCATTCAAATTAAATTTCACACAGAAGTTCCGAAAAACTCACCGAGGTGCAGGCCCGGCTACGAACCCATGCCCCTATGCTTGAGAGGCGGTAGGTCAAATTATTAGGTTACCACAGCTATATATATGACAAATGAACTATATAATATTGATAAGGTCTGGCCACGTTATTTGGGTCTTACCGTGCCATCATAAAGCACCCATAAGTAGGCATGAATGCGGCGATGACGGCGAACACTGCGTTGACGGCTAGAGCAGACAGCAGTGCACGGCGTCGACCCAGTCGAGCGGCTAAAGCTCCCCACCCTACGGCGCCTAGAGATCCCCCCACTAGGCTGATTAGTACTGTAAACAAACAAAGACTCTTCAAAACGATGTTACTATTGCTAGACTAGTTTAGTTACGTCTGTAGTATAATGTCCTACGGGGTTCTCATGTACAAACCATATTTGTGTTGCAAAAACAAGCGATTCGTTGTGTACCGTTTAGATTCTCGAGTTTCTCTCAGAGAAAAGTTTAAGGAGACTGGTATCATGACTATGGATCACAGTACATTTATTCAAATATTTTGTAAGCCCACCCATAATATTAACCTTAGAACTAAGTCCAAGCTCATGGTACCATGATTTCGTTTAACTAAGGTAATTATTTTATGAGGTACTGTATACGTTTTTACAATGACATTCCGGAGAATATATTACTAAGATTATCATTTCCTAAATTTAAAACTATATTAAAAGTATTTTATTGTTGCAAAATTGAAGAGTATGTGTTAGACAAAGATGTACATGAGTCTAGATTCCACACAACTATTATTGAAAGTGTATTCCATAGCATATAAGCTCATTTGAAAAGAGCAATTCCTAGAGCTTCTTGCTCGTTCTTCTCAGGGAAGTCAGCACACTGAACGACTGCTCGTTAACTGTGCTGTTGTACGTCGTACACTATTGGTGACTGCTTCACAACTCGTGACTCCTGATCGTTACCAAAGTCTGTTCCAATTCATTTTAAACGAAATGTAAACAAAACATTTTGGTTGAATAACTAAAGCAATCACTCAATGAATCGAATAAGTAACACTTTCACGTATATTTTGAAGATTTCGACTTGATAT